CTTCGGCCGCCATTTTGAAAATCGCTTAGGTGATTATCGCGTAATAATCACCTCAACGGCAACCAATCAGCGTGGAGAATTTTCAATAATCACCTATGTAATTATACTAATTATCCTTAACAACTGTAGAATTTTAGATAAATCTAGACATTGGTCCTTATTACTTTTCAAAGAGTCTCTCTACATTCACCGTCAGAAACCGGAACTTAACCATGGATGCAAATTTAAAGCCTCAAATGAACTCGTAATCTTTAGTTAACTTAGCATATCATATCATATCATATGTCATTTGATCTTGTATATATAACATGTACATTTTTCCGTAGCGTCATTCCTGGTGATGACTGCAAGATAGTCGAAACGTCGAATGAAAAATGTTAGCTGTTTTCGGGGTGTCCATTGCTTTTTGGTTTTTTTTTTACATTGGTAATACGACTAGTGTTTATTTACTATTGTATTACGTGAAGTATCAAATATACTAAGGTGTTGATGTTATGACGTATGGCAGTCAAGTGGTTTGTTTTCATCTAATGTCTTTGGGCGGGAAAAATTGCAATGACGTGAATGCAAATAATTTGTGTTGTCTTCATGTCAATGTTTTTTTATCTGGTTCCATGGTTTCTTCGTGGTAGCTGTGATTGATTTAGGACATCGTTTAAAGTCCAATGATAGTTGAACTTCCGTAATTTCTCAAAGAATCCGAGGGATTAATCATGAAAATAGCTGAGGTAATGGCTGGGAGCCAATTTAGGTTTATTAGTAGGAACCCTAGTTAAGAACATTTTTAAAAAAATCTAGTTCTAGGCATTTTCATGAAATACATGCCTAAGTCTCCCGCCTAGGATACGTTTGGCTGTGTAATTTGGACGTAGAATTAGTGTTAAAGTATAATTTGTAAATAGTTGAAATTTGGGGGAGATATATGTCATTTTACCATGTCATTTTACCAATTTTACCATGGTGTTTCCACTTGAAGGAAAGTAGTGAATAAGAAAGTTTTTATGCGATTGTTCCATGTTCAAATACAGCGTAGTTATCTGCTAGCTAGGAAACACCACTCGTTCTATCATGCAACTAGCCCGCGTGCAGGCCCACTGAGGGAACAATAGTGGGCGTGCAAGGAAGACCGGGTATTTTGTAAAACGCCCCTTTTCATAACACGCACCATTCGCGCGTCAATTGTCAAAAAAGAACCAATGACAGCAACCCAAATAGTAAACAAATTGCATTAAAATGTTGCGGGGTTTTCTCTGCGTATTCAGAATAGAACAATGTGTAAATGGCTTGAAGGATGAATTTCAACAGAAAATCTGTCTCAAACTTCAAATCGTGAGGGAAGTATTGCGACTACATTAGCATTACTTTGTGCTTCTATCGCCATTGGCATTATTATAAATAAATTGTCTCACTTATCTGATCGTGTGTGCAATTCTTGTGGGCGGAAACTACGAAATTTATTTCAGTTATTACACTGGCCTGTAGGCCAAGTGTCTTGAATCCCTCTTTTTCTGGTTTTTTTCCCTGTGTTTTCCTGGGGTTTTTTTCGTAGTCGAGAAGCGATAGCTTATCGCAGGCTCAGGGTGCAACGATTAAGCCAAAATGCTATCGATCCCTCGGTCCCATGATTTATATATTATAGTAACAAGCTCGTATTTATCTACGTAATAGCCGGCTCATGCCATGCTTGTGGTACATTTTTCGTTTATTAGCCCATACACTTGTACGCACGCGCAGAATTCCGAACTCCAAGGATAGAGTGCTCCAGTGACATATTCAGTTCAGTTCCAAAATGGCGGCTTTTCACTAAGCGATCTAATATATATTTCACACAGTTTCGTGGAATTTTCAAAGTATTGTACCGGTTTCCTATCAAAAATCGGTTGTGTCGCACGCTGGACTCTCTCGCGTGTTGAATTAATGTGTTTTCCTTTGTGTAACGACTCGAAAACCCCAAAATTTGGACCCAGCGAATTTATACAATATAGTGGAATATAAACAAGGACAAGTTAAAGGTTTGACAGTTAGAATAACAAGTATTAACATACATTGTAGACTCATAAACATGCGTTGAGCACTTGTGTTCATTTGCATAATTATAGATTCGCACCTAATTACATTAATTTGCACCAAATTATACTTTCCATTTCATCATATATTAGTAATATTACTATAAAAATGTATTTTTTCGATTGTATTCAGCGAGGTGGTATTGCGTGCGGCGAAGTGAAAAGTGGTAGGGTTCGATTTGTTTTTGGAAGAAGATCCAACCCCCCCCCCCCACACACACACACACACACACACTTTCTTAATTCTGAAATTGTTTATTAGATGTTTACTGTTTGAGGTTAGAGAAGGGCTTGGGATCAGTTTATCTTATAAAATTATAAATGGAAAGAAATTGGCGTATTTTTTAGAAGAATCGTCTATGTCTATGAACTTTTTAGCACCTGAAACGAGCCATATAATGGCATTAAAAATCAAGGACTATATAATTTCTTCGTTATTATTGGCCCATCATTATTTACGCTTGATAGTTGATTATCATAGTTACAGCGGAACTGGCTTGTCAGGTTGAGTTGCCCGAAGCCGGAAGGTACGTCTGAGCCGGCGTCTTGGTATATTATGGTTGATAGTTGCTGATCATGATTGTATTTATTGGTTGTATTTATATGATCCAGACCTCCTGTGTCCCTATCTACTTCTCTACTACACATTACACTCTACCACGAAAGTTGCCATTTTCAGGCCAGTGTGAACGCCTGAGCAGGCGTCTTGTTTAATTTAGTAAAAAACTCGACGAAAGAAAAGAGCGTTCAGAGTGTAGATCGTTTCAAACGGCATTTACCGTCTTCTGTTTCGCCCTCTCAGAGAAGCCCCGCAAATCGCAAAGTGTTTCGAATAGGCTTACATGCAACTGCCTATATATCTTCATCACGAAAAGCGCTGTTTTTCTTTAGTGCAAAAACAAAGTCAACCTCAACCAAAAGATAATTTTCTTGAGGAACATATAAACGTATCAAATGTTTGAAATTAATGAAACTCAAGTATTAAAAGGTTACTATAGTTTGCCCTCAGTGGTAATGTTGCTATTCCAAGTTCCAATACTTCACGACAAGAAATCCCCGTTGGCATAACGGCAAAGCATCTCTTCCTTCAAGTAAACAATAAACCGTCTGTTCTTGTTCCATTTTTAATCGAAGAAAGTGATCAGATCCAACTTTAAGCTTACCGAGAGCCTTTGTGATGATGAATCACTGATTTAATCATAGAATCCAACAGCAAACAGCGAATCAGAATGCTGCGTTCGTGTGCGAACGCGACAAGAACAAAATACCCGGTTTCCCTTGCAGGCCCTCTATTCTTCCCTCGGTGGGCCTGCCACGCGGGCTATCATGTAACCATTTGTGTAGATATGGATAATGCTGGAAAGTTGTATCTTTGACCATAGTTAAAAGAATAGATCGTTTGGAAACTCATTAGAATAACAATTTAACTCGTTATCTATGTTAGTCAACGTTTATTCATAAACCTGGTCGTTCAACGTCACGTGCGTATTGTATTTTTTCCCAAATTGGAAATTGCTATTGGTCGATTTGGCAAAAATACAATACACACGTGCCGGTGAAGGACCAAATTTATGAATAAACGTTGACTAACATAGATAACGAGTTATATTGTTATTCTAACGAGTTTCCAAACCATCAATTCTATTAACTATGTTCTGACCAACACATGACGTGATAACAACTACACCCACTCTAAACCAACATCTATCTCGTATGCAACAACCCGGCTGCAAGTAAGTCACAGAATCAATACGTAGTTGTCATGCAAATACCCCATTGACCACACACATCTTGAAAATCGATGGCAAATGCACCACCCTTTCATTTTCCAAAGTATTTTGAATGTGTGCAGGGTGTGCAGTGTAAACCAAGGGTTGGACAATCGCTCATTTCTCGATAAGCTTTGTCCTTAGGGTTTTTTCAATGGTATACAGTCTACTGTATTCACTATATTGTGATTGCTCTGTGGAGTGTGTCCGAGCCACGAGCCACAGCCTGATGTTAGGGTGCATGGCTTTAAATGGTTGTGGTGATATGAGATAAGGGAGATGTGGGTTAGCTTTCCACTTGCTCCCCAATTCCATTGAGTATTATTTCAAGCTTCAATGGGTTTGAATGTAGGACCAAGTAATATTTTCTAAGTATTCATGTTACCAACTGAAATGTTCTGCTTGGCTTGTCCTCGAGCATATTACAAATCCTTTCCTAGTACTTCTTTGTGGTTTTGCCCAATATGAAACTGAAAGACTCCAGTATTTTATGCAGACCTTGCGTAGCGACGTCGCAAATGCAATTCACAAAGAATATATATACAAAGTTCTATATACTTTATTGACTGTTTGTTTCGAATCCATTTCACCCATTGATTTTGCAACACAAGCTTCTGCTATTCATGAAAATTACATGCATTTGTTAATTTACATTACAGCCACTCTGAACTTTATCGAATTGATATCGGCATTTTGATCGGCAACTAAATCGGTAAAACAAACTTAGCCCCCCACCGTTATGTAAATATTTTCCCCCAAAAATGTAGGAGACACGTGACCAGCCTGGAGCAGGGAGGCTGCTCCATTTACTGTTCGGAATACTCCGGATTTTCGGAACACTGATTGAATCGAACCGAAAACGATCACATGACTGTTCTGACTGCCCCTACTCAAAAGTAGGGGGCAGCCAGAACAGTCATGTGACCATTATTGTTTCGATTTAATTAGTGTTCCGAAAATTCGGAGTACTCCGAACAGTAAATGGAGCAGTCTCCAAGGTTTTTCCTTTAGTGACGAGCGTAGTAGAAAGAGCCTGGGTACAAGGTTGGGAGTTTTCTTCTCTGAAGTTTGAAAAATCAACAGACATGCAGAAATACATAAACTAAAACAGCAGTCGAAATTTTAACCGAGGGTTACCGCTAATTCAGCTTTGAACAACCGGCTCCAGGATTTTGGGGCATCTCAAATGGCCTCTGTAGCTCAGTCTGTTAGAGTGCTACACCGGAATCGCAGGGCCGCAGCTTCGATTCCTGCCGGAGGGCCTATATAATTGAATTTTTCGCAGCTTCTCTTGGTTAGGTGTAAATAAATGCAAAAAAATTAAACTCGAAATTTCCATCAAGAAAACTTGCAATTATTGGTTCAATTCTACTAACTTCAATTCATATATATATATATATATATATATATATATATATATATATATATATATATATATATATATATATATATATATATATATATATATATATATATATATATATATATATATATATATATATATATATATATATAT